CACCAATTTGACAACTGTCGTTTTCGAAGTCAAAATAATTCCTTATTCTCAATCAATAAATAAAGGAAATACGTAGTATAGAGAAATAAGGGTCGAATCCTCAGGGACTTAGAAAATCACAATTTAATGTTTGAATGGTTCTAACCAGGCGAAAATAGTAAAAAGGGGGGTTTGTAATATGATATTAAAATGGTAAAAATAAATAAAAAATAATTTAAATAAAAATAAGAGTATGAAGATAGTGAATAAAAACGGTAAAAGTAGCCTCAAGCTTCTCTTTGATTCAATATCCTTTAGATCATCGAATAAGATTTTCCCTTCGGGATTCATGTCGGTTACTTTGTCTACAAGGGCTATCCTTGTGACTCTATCTTGTATACCGAATACCCAAGGCAATCTTTGATTCCGGCTTCGGTAGTTGATTCTAACAACATCTATTGTCGTAGATCAAATACCGTTTAAGTTCGTGACGATCGACTCGGATTGTTGTTTCTATAACCGTCAATTCCGATCTCAATTCCCTCTTGACGAAGCTATCTCGCCAAGTGTGTTCCCAGGAAGTCGAATTGCTTTCTATAAGCCGAATCTTCCTCCCACACGTTTAATCACAACAACTTCTTGACCAAAGTCAATCTTCGATTTTGAAAACTGTTTTGATTTTGAAAAATAAGCGCAGAGATTGAGAGAGAGATTTCGAAGATATTAAGGGACCGTTTCAATTCTCCCGTTGGAATTGAATCATCGCGACAGCTCTCGGCTTATGAAAAGTTTAGCTAAGCATGACAAAAGTCATACTTAGCATAAAAATAAAACTTGAAAATAAAGAAAAATAAAAAGAACTTGAAAAGGAAAAGATAAATCTTTTATAAAAACTAGAGAGAAAAGAAGAATGTATTCTGAATGATGATTTTAGGCTTACCCCAAGTGGGTATTTATAGCCTCTCAAAGCCTAAAGGATAAACAAAGAAAATAATAAAATAATACAAAAGATAATTGTTTTTAAATTTAAATTCAAACTTAAACTAGTCTCCTAATGCAACTCTGCTCGTCAATCTTCCAGAAGGCGTGCAGACGAAGTCTCCTAGAAACCGCCGCTGACTGGACCTTCTAGAAACTGCCATGTCAGATCGCGTCGTGCCCAGAGTCGTGCCCATGTCTCCAGCCGTGACAAAATAATAAAAAAAAATGCAGAATTCGCCCGTTTTATCACCAATTCTAGAAAGTAAGGACCTGCACGAAAATAGACATAACATAACCAAATCAGCAGCAATAACTTCACAAAATCGAAGAAATAACGAACAAATATTAACGATTCTGAACACTCATCAGAGCTTCACTGGATCAAGGTATGTGACTGGTAATACCTTTGTGGAATAATTATATGATATTGGGTATACAATTAACCGTTATGTTGATGACTTGAATGATGGGCTTAAGAGTGTGGCACGCCAAATAAAATTGAAATTGATAAATATTGGGCGAATGTTAATAATGTGAACGTGTTGATGTTCATCGCTTTATTTCTTGATCCTAGGCATAATTTGAGATATGTTGAGTGGATCGTTCATTATTCTTATGATCCTAGTGACTCTTATGTCTTGTGTGAATGGATTAAAGATAATTTGACATCGTTGTTTGATTATTATGCTTCTTCACATCCTTCTCCAACTCAAATGAGATCATGGTCTTTAGGTCCTAATTCTAGTGGTCATGGTGGCGAGGGAGAAATAAAGAAGTTGAAAGGAACAAATTTAAGAAAATATTATGTGACAGAGGTAAAACTAAATGAAACTTATAAAACAACAACCAAGCTAGAGAGATATTTGGGGGATAAATGTGTTCGTGATAATGATAAATTGGATATCTTAACTTGGCGGTTTATGCAAACAAATAGCTATCCTATTCTTATGAGTATGGCACATGATATAATTGCGATTCCAATTTCTACCATTACTTTATAGTCTACTTTTAGCATGGGAGAGGGTGTTCTTGATTCCTTGTGCACCTCTTTGATTCCTAGGTTAGTGGAAGCTCTTATTTGTACTTAAGAAGGGATCTGTGCTTCTCATGAACCCATCATGATAGAGGAGAGCTTGCAAGCACTAGACAATATGGTAGAAGGTTAGATTTCGATACCAAATTTATTAATTTTATTTATAATATTTATCTACAATTTTTATATATTTAAATAATTATATTTATAAACTGTAATATTATTTTGTCGTATATTTGTAATGTTTTTATGTAGAAATGAAATATTTCTCTTCAGATCAACCCTCAATTACAATTGACGAGACGAACAAAGTTTCAAAGCAATTAAATATATCTCTTTAGTTTCATTTTCTTTAGACTTTTAACATTTAAGTTTTATATTTGGACTATGCAATTTGAATTTTTGAATTTCATGTTTGAATTATGCAATTCATATTTTTAAAGTGTCTAAGTTGTTCGAATTTGAATTTTTCAAAAAAATTAGTGTAGAATTGTTTACTGTTTAGTGCAGAATTTGTTAGTGCATAATTTTTTTTATGTAGAATCATTTACTGTTTAGTGCAGAATTTGAAGAAAAAAAAGAAATCGGGTACCTACAAGTCATGGGCCAATTTTTTAGCACTTGAACAGTCCAAGTACCCAAAAATACGGGTACCTAGTTTTGAACAACCCTATTGATAAGTGTAAAGCCTCATACCTCAGAAATATGATCAAAATGAGATTAAAGGAAAGTGTTTGTGTACTTGGTAAAAGTGTAAATCTCTATGTCGTTCTGTTACGTTTGAAAGAAATAAATATGTCTATATGTCTCACTAGAGGTGATAAAGTGTCATCTGCACAAAAAACTCTTATTATATTTTTTGATACTCATGAATGAGAACTCTTCTTTGAAAATGACGTGTTTAAGACAAGGTCTGCAAAGGTAACTATGGGTGGATGAGTAAGGCTTTCCTTACTATATCTTGAGTTAAGATTTATCTGTGTTGGTCTAAGAAAAGCCTCTAACGAAAAAGAGTCTTATGTTAACATGAAGGAAAAAAGAGTCTTATGTTAACATGAAGGATTGTGATATTCGATTCAGTTTCGAAGATTAGGTATTATCCAAATATCTCCGTAGAGGAAAGTATTGGGATTGGACATAAGAGAAAAGTTGAGTCATGAATTCTCTAAATTGTTATAGATACTTAAAAAATCAGATCAGTCATTTACCAACATGAGTTGACTATGAAATCTGAAGGTATTCAAAATGCCTTTAATGCGTATGCATTGAGATGATGTCGTTCTGACTTTCTATTAGGGACATTTAAGTGAAGTTTGATTGATTCTACTAGTAGAAGTCTCTTAAAATTTTGGGTATTGATACAAGAGAGTCATGATGAGTAATAACATTCTAATGGATAAGGTTTAGTAAGCTAAAGAAGCCCTCACTGAGGTAACATTGAGGAGTTGTTGAACTCAATCTTCACGTCTCTTATATTTAGGCAAATTTCAAGGATGAAATTTCTTTTAAGGGGAGAGTTGTCGTACCCCAATTTAGGGGTTAAATTTTTTAAGGACTAAATTTAAATTGTAATAAAACTATGAACCAATTCACTATATTAAGAAAGTTTGAGGACGTAAAGAATAAATTGATTGTTTCTCAAGCAAAGTTAATTTTTTTAAGTTCCCATTTGCTTGGAACCACATGCTCACTTTACCAAAGAAGAAACTTCACATTCTTTTTTAACTCTCTTTATTTCAATTTTTTTCTCCCTCTTCATGAAAGCTTCCACCGCCATTTTGCTGTCGACTAGACCTTCGTTTCCTACACCGCTGCCACCATTGTGTTCCTTGAGCTGTGAGGAGTTGGAGATGTCTTTGGAATCCTTATCATCACCAGCGTGTGAGGGGTGAGAAGAGAAAAGATTCGACCGTTTGCTTTTTGGCATCTCCACCATTCATCGTCGTACAACAAAAATGGTAAGTGACTCTTCGACATTAAAAAAACAATTCTGGAAATTTCAGTCGTCGTCCGCCCACTTTAGGCCACCGTACGAGCCACACGTGCCGTCCCCTACGTGTGGGCGTTGTTTTCAACTAGGAGAGTCCTATTTCTTTTTGTTTTCATCATTGTTCCTAATTTGGAGTCCAATTCTCGTTGTGATAGCTTTGCAATGCGTTTTTTCATTAGTGCTAGGGACTTTAGTGTCACTCAGTAATGCTCATTGTGGTCTGTTGTTGATTGCATTAGCTAGTTGTCCAACTTGATTCTCCAATGCTATGAACAATGTTTTCTGGCTTCGTATCACAATTTCATTCCTCAACATGTACTCATTCAATAGAGATTCATGAGATATTGATGTTGAAGTTGAGGCTTGGTGGGAAGACTGCCCTTGAAAATTTTGTTGGTTATTGCTTTATTGCTATAGCATTGCCTAATGGTGTGACTGCTGCTGAGGCATCCTCTGTTGATTGTAATGCTACCACGTTGGTAATGTTGCTGTGTATTTCCATAATTTGATTGGAATGACGTGTTGGGATTTGCAACATTTTGACTCCTCCAAGATAAATTGGAATGGTTGCAGAAGTTAGCATTGTATGCATTCCCATATATATTTATATTTTAGTTCCTGTTGTAATTTCTCATAAAATAGACAGACTCAGGGTTTTATGGACATTCTTCGAAGTTATGGTTATCACCACAATAAACACAACTAACTAAAGATGTAGATTTTACCTCATACATACCCCTGGTTTGTGAAGCTTCTTAACCATGTCTATCAATGCTTTGATTTGGGCAACCATAGAATTAAGGACATCTATATCCACTGCTGCATCATTGCGTCTGCTGAATATCTTCCTCATGTTGGGTAACTGATAATCATTGTTTGATATTCTGTCCAAAATATCATAAGCCTCATTATACGTCTTACCCAGCAATGCTCCGTTTTCTGAAGCATTTACTACCATTCGAGTGTACATGTTCAACACATTATAGAAAATTTCCATTTGCGTCCATTGTGAGAATCATGCATTGGGCATTTGTGCAACAATTCCTCAAAACGTTCCCAAGCGTCATACAAACTTTCATCCTCTAATTGCTTGAAAGATGTCAAGTAATTTTGCAGCTTTGCATTCATATTGAGTGGATTGAAACACAGCAAGAATTTTTTTGCTAACTCATTCCATTGATGTTATAGCAGTAGGCGGCAGTGAATTAAGCCATGCTATAGCTTTATCATGGAGTGAATAGGGAAACAACTTCAGCTTCAAGGCTTTTTCAAGTACTTATTGCTGTATAAATGAGTCACATACCACCATGAATGCTCTAAAGTGTGCCCTAGGGTCTTTAGTAAATGAATTGCTATAATGCCCAATTGACTGCAGTATCTACCGACTTCAATTCAAAATTGGCAGCATGTATTGTTGGTCGCACAATGCCAGGATGTAAATCATTGAGTGTCGGCACCACGTGCTCCCGAATAGGCCGATTTCAGTCATCTATGTTGTAATAATGTTGTTGTTTAAATCCATTTCCATCTGGCAGTCTATCCTCACCATTTAACACTAGTGGCAGAGCATTGTTACCATCACCATGCTGGGCAATGTTTTCTCAATTACGAGCTACTTGTCTACGATGTTCTCATAATGTATATTCGATTTCAGGATCATAAGGCTTTAGATTTTAATTTCTGAAATAATTTGATGAGAAATTATGAAAATACCTTTTTGGGGCATTTGGTTCGTGGAAATGAACATTACCAAGGGGAATAATCTTTTCCGGAATTACATTCACACGTTTGGTTCACGGAAAAGTTATTACTAGGAAATAATATTTTCTCAATAATAGCCATTTTTTGTTAAAATGGTGGGAAAATCATTACCTCCAAATTCTTAGGTATTAGACAATTTCCACCATTGTAGACAAGAATACCCCTAGACTAATGAATTCTTTTTATAATGATCTTTTTCAATTCTTATTTTTTGAATTTTACTCAAAATTATAAATATAATAATAATATACAAAGAGTTTGATTTAATAAAATATTAATAAATTTGAGTATTTAAAAATATTTTATACTTATAATTTTACAAGGTAAAAAAAATATGATTGTAAAAATAAATTATTTAAAATAATCTCTAAGTTTAAGTTATTAAAAAAAAGATCTTATACATTAAAAAATATTATCTTTGTCCACTTGAGATCATAATATAATTTCATATTATATTATATTTTATATAAATAAATATGATGGTTATGAAAATTATTAAAAATATAAGTTTAATACAATAATTATATATTCAATATATTTTTCTCAAAAGTTAAATAGTATAACGATTAAAATATTTCTAGGAATTTTGATTCAAATATTTATAATGTATTATTAAAGTTTAATTATTTTTTAAAAACATATATCGCAAGGATAATTTGATAAAATATACAGTCAAGTAATCTTATATTCCTCTAATGAAACAATGTATTTTTACATTCATGCTAAATAAAACAAACAAGACAATACAACATTTTCATAATAATGTTACATTCCATTAATGTTATTCCCAAAATTAATCTTACATTCCATGAACCAAACGCCACCTTAAGGTTTATAAAGGACACAAATTACCACTTATAGTGTTTTTTTAACCTAGGAATTTTCGAGATTTTGTTACTTCCTAATTATTTGCAATCTTAACCAAGAAAGAAAGCATAACATGTGAATCAGCTAAAAGCTATGGTCAACCTGATCTCCTGGAGCCTTGATTAATATTTTCCAGAAAGAAAGATGGATTTCTCGTCTCATAAATGCTTTGTACCTAAATTTTTTCGAGATTTTAATCAGTATTTTCTAGTGTATCTTCTTCATCAATGAGATCCTCAACTTCTTCGCTTTCTTCTCCTTCGGATTTCTCTCTGTCACTTCCCCTTGTATCGTTTTCGGTTTCCTCAGCTTTACTCTCTTCTTCGGCTTCGACTTCTCCGGTTCTGATGTTCTCGGTCGTCGTCGACGACACTTGAATTTGAGGATCGAGGTCCTTCCTCCCAAGTTTCAATGCCCCATTGTTACTCATTACAGTTCGGACAAGTTCAATGCCATTCTGGTCGTAAGTGTTCCGAAACTGATGCAGCAGCCAGATGCAAAGGCCAACCATCGCACACATCTGCAACACATGCTTTACCTTGACAGCTTTGCATCTCTGGTTTCTGGTAGCCGATGGCTTTATCATGATCAACGCTCCAATATAACAAAGCTTAATCTGTCACAAAAAGAAATCGGATCAAAATAACTGACACCCTCATTTGATGTCTCTCAACTTGAAAAACATAGAATTTTCTCTAGAACTTAACAAAGGAATGGAAAAGACGTATCCATAAAAAGAATGTAAACTTGAAGAAGAAGAAAACAGTAGCGTCTTGGTAACCTGGAATGCTGGATTGCGTTGTTTGAGTAGCAGCAATGTAATTTGTGCAATGAAATGGTAAGGACATAACCTCGTGTTGGGAAGGGAACAGTGAAGTGAATGTCGGCATAAATAAAACAATACACTTGGCAACAACTTGAGGGCAATTGTTTCTATTCACTTCCTTGCATTGAATGTGTGGGGTTCACTAACTTGATAAGTTTGCGGTTCAACTACATCAACACATTGGTCCACAATTAATCAAAATCACATAATAATTGTAAGAATAAAATAGATAAATGATCTCTCGATTATAGGACACTGCTTTATTAGGTCCCTCAATTATTAAAAATCATAAAATTATCTTCTATAGAATGTTATTTTGTTGAGTCTTTTGACTGTTAAAAGTTACAAAATAATCATCCGAATATTCATTATGTTCCAAACTCGTCATTTTTCGTTAAAAATTAATTGTATTATGAGTTGAACATTAATATATTGACTGTAAAATGATAAAATCTTATTACATAATTTCAAACGACTATCCTATCTAAGTCAAGATGTTAACGTCCAACTTAGGTAACCATCTATCTTTTAATAAAAACTAATGAGTTTATAATATAATGAATAACTGGTGATCATTTTGTAACGTTTAATAGTCGAAATACTTAAAAAAATAACATTTTATAATCAAAAGATTATTTTATAACTTTTAATAATTGAGTGACTTAATAAAATAATACCTATAATTAAGGTGATAGAGTACATATTACTTAATGAGTTACTTCTGTTATAACTGACTTCGAGTCTGTTGGGCTAGATAGTTAGGTTTGGGCTTGTTATAAATATCCATTGTTGTAATTGACAGTGCATGTGAGTTTTCGCTCAATGATAATGACTTTCTTTACATTAATTTCCTTTTACCTGTTTTAGTTTTCTCTATTATTCTTTCTGATTATCCTTTGTGATTTCACTCCAATCATCGTTTTCTTACATGGTATCAGAGAAATGTCACCGAAGATCGTGATGGAATGGATCTCGTGTGCGGATTGAGGAGCAATCGATTGTTCCTAGGGTTTCTGCTTCAGTGCATTTGGTGATGTTCAATCCTGATTTTTTTTAGGAGTTTGTTGTTAACCTGAATTTAGATCGATTTTTTTTTTAAATGCAGTAGCCATGCCACCACCAACTACTCCCCAACATATATCAACCAAAATCAGAAAAGGGGGGACGGAGAGCAAAAAAATCGAGAGAGAGGGAGACCATTTTTCAAAACAAAAAAGGAGAACGAAAAAACTAGAGAAAGGTCGTGGAAAACTTACCCTATTTCATCCGACCACCGCGTTCCTCCTCGCCGGAGCCAAACGTCTTTAAGTTCTTAGAAGTTAACGCTCCTAAACCTTATATCTAAGGGAACTTAATCTTGTTTAAAGACGTCACTCATTTTTAAATCCTCGTCCGCGTTTTAAGTTCTTTAACTCCTCCTTGTCCGCGTTCAGGGGGATAGTGTCCAATGCCTATTTTTGGGTTTATTCATGAGTGGTCCCTCACAATTTGTAAAGACGTCAATTTGGTCAAGTAATGGAACTTTAAATCCTTTTGTTTCGAGTTTTAAGTTTTTTATGTTTGCATTTTAGCCACTCATTGCTTGTTTTGCTTCTATTTTCATTTATTTTATATTTGACATGCAATTTTAAATGTTTACATTTGAGTCCTTCATATTATTCATGGTCTATTTTCATTTCTAGTACTTATATTGTTTAATGTTTTCATTTGTTGCCCTAATTGTTATTAGTTTTGTTGTTTAGCCTTTAAAGTAATTGTTTTTCTAATTTAATCACTCACTTACATGGTTTATTTAATTTATGTTATTTAGATTTTAGCCTATCATGTTCATACTTGTTGCACTTAGTCCCCATTTTTTTGTTTTGTCTTATTTTAGTCCACATTTTTTATGTATATATGTATGTTCGATTTTTTAACTCGCTCTTTTTAACATTTTTAAGATATTTGATGTTAAGTTTATAATATGATACCATATGAACATATTTATTTAACACATTATGACCCTTATATATTTATGTATATGTTATATTTGTTTTTTATTATTATTATTTTCAGAATCAATATTTTTAAAACTTACAAAATGCTAATTTTACTCATTAATATTTTAATGTATCTTGCATGATTATTTTCAAGAACACTAGTCGAAAAATGGGTGTAGAAAGCACTGTTTAACCGAAGTAATGCAATCTGACACAACATTCAAATGAAAAGGGGACTTGAAATAAATCGATTATGTTTTGATTAATTGGTATAAATTAAATTATTATTATTATCTTGGCTTAAATAATGACAATGCCCATGATTTCTTTAATTGCATGCTTTGTTATTTCATTCGATATCTTATTATTGATATATAATTTATATTTAATTTATGATTTTGATAACATTGAAGAGCGGATATTTCTCGTATAGAGGAGAAGTAGATGTGAGAGCCTTCCCATTGGAGGATGTACAAATCCGTGATTTCTTTTCAAAATAAGGAATATCCCCTAATAATTAATCCAAAATAAGTTAATTAATATTCAATAAAAGGATCATACTTTAAATATTGATTCAAATTTTTAATTTCCACACGACAACATACAAGCGATTAGGTACCAATTTTTGGGCGTTATGGGGTGCTAACCTTTCCCCACGCGTAATCAGCTCTCGAATCTTTCAAAAT